CTCTCTTTCTGATGGAGAATGAATCTCTGGTTAAGATTTTAACAATCTTTTCAACACTTTTTCTCTATAGCTGGCATTTCAGTTCCACAAGGTTTTCAATTAATGTACAAAGAAGGGGTGAGGCACTATTTCCTCCTTCCACTCCTTGAACATTTATTCCCAATCTCTTTATACTTGTGCCTCTATTTTGTAAATTTTACTTTTTTTTTACATTTCACTTGTTTCCTCTCTCCCCTCAAAAGCTGTTTTCTATTTATTCCTGTTTATTCCTGTTTTGTTTTTTTTGACTGCACTCATAAATTCTTTCCATTTATCTTCTTGAAGTAAAAAAATCTTTCTGATCTATGCAAAAATATCCTTCCACCACCTAGCTTTAAAATTTGTTCTTTATAAGAGGTGAATAGGGAAGTAAAACAGCTGCATAAGTCTTTTACAAGCTTTCTAAATAAGAATAAAAATGTAATGATAAAACAAAGAAGAAAACCAGAAAAGGTTCATTGTAACTGTCTGAAAATGCAGCTCTGAACAGAATTTACTTTAGAAATGGTGGGAAAAATAATTTTGAAAAAGATTTTGTGAAGACAAAAATATTCACACAACCTACCAGTAGTGAAAGGGGAAAACCTGAGGGTTTTAAGGCTCTCATCCATCCCCACCTACAAGGAAACAAACTCGTTTAGGAGATTTTTTAAGAGCTTGTCAATAGGTGGGTCCTTCTCTTTGTCTGGAGTGACCTTGGCATGTTCTCAGGTGCTTCTGCAGGGACTCTCTTGAAGACAAAACATTTATGCTTATGTTGTATAAGAGCTTGTGTCAAGTTTGCAGCCTTGGTACTCTTGCTAGATTTGAAATAGACAATACACCATTGTTAGCATCAGGAAAAAATGTTCAGATCTCACAGAAATGTCTCACAGAAAACATCAGGTTATTTAAATACAAACATGGGTGAAGTTCACATGACAGTACCTGAAGAAAGGGTATAAATCAGAGCAAGTGAAATTTGGGAAGGGAACTTATTACAGAAAACACATGGCTGTCCAATTAAAAGTACATACTTTGATTTAACATCCCATCTAAACCAAGCATGGTATAAGTAGTTTTCCTAATATAATCCCAAGGTTAAAAACAACTAGCAACGTGTCTTTATGTATATAATTCTGAAACAGCAAGGCCATGGGGAGACACTAAAAAGTAATCATATTACTTCATTTGTATAATCCACTTAACAACCCATGTTCTGTTCACAGGCTTAGTGATGAGTTTTCAGTTAATTAAGTGATAGAAATTTGAATATTTAAAGCATAGCACTTTTGTTATCATAGAAACTGGAAGCTGACAGAGTCATCTTCAGCAATTTCAGGTTCAGGGAGAAGCTTGCCTGCACATAAGTTTGTTGTTTGCTTGGAATCTCACTTCCTAAAATCTAAATGCATGCATGCTGCAAGAAATTTAATCTCAAATTCTTTTCCTCATCCACTAATGTCATAGATCTGACAGTGATTTTTACCACCACCATGGCAGCAGAGAAAATTTGATCCTCAATGAGAGAAAATTAATATGCAGAATTCAGGGCAGAGTGTGTTTGGACGGGACAGGGTGAAGAAAACAAAAGAAAACTAATGGTGCAATTTTCAATGTCAAAATAAAACGGCATTATGGCTTTTTACATCTGTACGTGTTATGCCACTTCAGAACCTTGATTTACGTGTAGGATTTTTTCATAAACTGATTTAAAAAAAATCTGTTAAGCAAGACTTAGTTTCCATTGACTCAGGTAAGTTGTTTTTCCTTTGATGTATGAGGCAGGGCAGAGAGACTTGGTTCATCTAACTTGGAAAGGGCTGAGTCATCTCGAAGATTCCTTGTCTCTGCTAAGCAAGGAAAGGAGTCTTGAGCTGGACTTCTGCATTAAGACCAGAATCGAGAAGACAAATTCTTTTCCATTGTACTCTGCCTGAGCCATGCTCTCTTTAGAAATGTTGATGCAGTCGGAATGACCAAAAATACTATGAGGATACTGTTACTGAGAAAGCCATGCCAAGCCATGGAACTCACACATGCATTTCTCTGGGCAAGCTGGAATGAACAGAGCTCATTCTGCTTTTTATGTGAAGCAGTCCCCTAAGCCAGCCTGAAGCCCCACAGAATGACTTCACAGAAAACATAAATTACAGCAGATAAATATACACATCATGTCTAACTAAACAGATGCAGTGTAAATGCCAAAGAAGAAACTTATGAAATCCTGGCACGTTGTTTGAGAGATCCTGGTTCTCGTTTGCCACAGGGTTTTCAATGAGGCTTTCACAAGACTTTATTCAAGGCAAGAGAAGAATAAAACTGAGCTACAGCTTATCTAGATACTATGTGTTGTATCTGAATAATGTAGGTATACTCTTGCCATTTAATAAAAACCTTAAAAGACCTTTTAATTAGTATTTAAAGGAAGAACATAAAACATTCTAATAAAATATTCTGGCTCACTTGATTCATTTTCCTAAGTGTTTAAGCCTTTCCAACTACTAAATTATACAAATAGATTGGGCAGGGATTAAAACTTGCCAGCCGTTTTTCTGGCAATGCAAGCCCCATTCTTCATCTTATTTCCATCTCCAAATGGATATAGACTATACAATCTTATTTAACTGACAATTCTAAATGTGCCATTCCTGTTCTGCCTTCTAAATAACTTTGCCTGGTCCTACTGCTGCAGCTGAGCAACAGCTCAATTAAGAAAGTACACAATAAAATCCATTCCTCAGATTAGTAGTAGCTAGTAGAGGTCTGTTACAGCATCTTGCAGAATAGGAAATAAACATCAGATATTTAGTGGGAGCACATTATTAAATAATGAGGTTTTAAGCCTAACAAAAGGAGTTTTACAGTGGATTTTATGAAGCCCTAAAGGCCAAATCATTGTTAAATTTCATTAAAATGGGTGGAAGAGTTCCAAACTGATAAAAAACTGAGGCATCTTTTTCTGTCCAACATGGTATATTAATTAAAAAAAACCCTTCTGGGAATAGCAAAACAAAAGGCTTGATCCATACAAACTATGTCTTTTGTCTCCTAAAACACCAAACGCTGGTACCCCAGCTCGATCCTGTATTTTCTCTAGGCAAAAGAAAACAAGTGCCTGATCATTTTGTCAGCCAACTGTTGCCTTAAACAATGAATAAAAGCTTAATTCTGCACGAATGAGGCATTCATTCTGGGTGTGTCCCTGCTACCCAGCTGCCAAATTTTATGAAAACATTAGGAAGTGATTAACTGAAATGCCTACTCTATGAAACTTGGTGGAAATATACCAATTGATTACAAAGTTCTGGGGATACCAGAGAAAGGGATGAGAGACTGATTGGTAGCAGGAGTCTAACTGATCTGTATATAACCTGAGAAGTTTAAGGCATACATCTTAATATTCCTCAGATGAATTGAGCAAACTGCCCCATGGGTAATAAGCTAGTTGTAGTGGGAGAAAGGCATGTAGGAACTTCTAAAATACCAACAACACCAAGAAGATGTTCCCCCACAAAATAAAAAGCCAAAATCCCCAACACCCAAAGCTCCCCCACTTTTCAAGATCACTGAAGTGTCAAGGGCTTTTTGCAGTGCAAAAATGCTTAAACATTAATGCCTAAACAAACTGGAAATGCTCAAACAACCTAAACTGGAAAAGCTCTTATGTGAGCTCAGACACTGTCCATGTGCGCTATCCAGGAACGTTAGCATTCATAAAGCTTTTCTGGAAAACTTAATGCATCAAATTTTTAATTCAAAAGAGCACAGCAAATTAACAATTTCTGCCAGTCAGGCAAACTGGAAGTTTGCTCATCATCTGTAATTAGCACATTTATTGAGGTAGGTGACACTACTTAATCAAATTTCAGTATGTTTAACCATCTGGTAACTGGCAGTGGGAAGACCATTTTATAGGAAGAGTCCTTGAGGATTATGGAAGAATTACATAATTCCAAAAAAGCAAGCTGAATTGGGAGTGGAGATGTGTATGGAAACACAAGAAAATCGTGTAATAGAGGCACTGTTGCATGTAAAAACACACAAAGTACCTTATACTCTCAGCATTTTCTGGAATAAGTATAATTAATTACATAATTCTGTATCTCTGAACTCAATGAGATAAAAAATGTGGGTAGAGAACATTAATGCTTTATTTTTTTTTAGTATTTTTTTATACCAAGATGGGGCGATATGTTCTATTAGCTAAAAGCTTAGTTTGTATTATTGACAATTCAGCCTAAACCTAATTTCTGTGACTCCTTCAGGGATTACAGGTGACTCTTCACTGCTTTTGTCACATTTGGTAGAAAGTGTTACTGTGGCTGAAGGGGAAAATAACTCTGGGTGAGTCTCGTGGCCAGGAGAACCTGTATGAAGGCTGCCATGCAATAACATAAGACAGCAATGCATCTAACAGCTGCTGGACAGATCCTTAGCAGGACCTAGGATGTTAAACATTAAAACTGGGATGATGGATCAAAACCGGGATGATGGATCAAAACCAAACAGATGTGCCTTTGGAAAAGGGGGACTGACTGATACCGAATTAGGCCACAGAAGGTGTTCAGAATGAATCCCGCGACAGAAGGAATCTTGTTGTGTCTGTGTTGCATAAACTGAAAACATTAATACCTATGGATCCAGCTGAACACTCACTGCCTTAGAAAGATTTTTCAAGCAGCTATATAAATAAAAAATTCAATTATTAATGCACACTGAAAATAACGATAAAAACCTGGTTTTCAAAGATGAGAAACCATTAGCATGTATTAGAATGACTGTATGAAACTTTCAAATTGGCTAAATGTACTGGGAACAAAGCATTCAACATTGTCTGCCAGCCATTCTTGGTTATCTGCTTGGAGTTTTCTATTGAATCGCTTCCATTACCTCTGAGCAGGGAGCTTGCAGCTCCCTGAGACACGTGCATCAAATGATACAGCCACAAAAAAGCCCAGAAGTCAAGAATGAATTCTTACCTTATTCATGTCAAATGTGTGAAATACTTGTTCAACATAGTTGTTAGCTTCAGGAGTAAGTCCATGTAGATCTAGGACATGTTTAAATTCATGCAGGCAAAGCTGTCCAGATGGGCATTCCTTCATAAACTTTGTGTACCAGTGATGAATTTCCATAGCATTAATGTCATCTGCTGATCCAGCAGCACCCATTGCATCAAACATACCAGGTAATCTTTTTCAGTACTAATTCATCCAAATGTTGATTCTTCCTTCCCAACAATGATCATTCAAACACCAACTCTGCCTTTGAGAGCTACTTTAAACCTCTTACAGATCACTACCAAGATAGACTAAGTAAATATAGCACCCTAGAAAGATTACTGGCACCCGGTTTTAGTACCCTGTGGTTTTAGCAGCTAATTAGAGTCTTTGTGCACAGTCAGTCTGCAGAGCCTCAGATGAACTGATTATACCAGTTCTCATCTTGTACTGGCATCTGTGGTGCTAAAGGTGTTTAAACTGGATGAATATTGAAAAAGCAACACACAGGAACTTTGAGGGTAGTTTCTAAACCTTCATTTTTACAAAGTTTTAACAAAAACTTAGAACCATTTTAATACTTGTATACATTTTGTGCAGCTGACTTTTCATTTTTATTATTTCTGTATATATGGTGATACAAATCTTACCTTACAGGTCAAAACTGCAACACAATTTGACTTGGATAACCTGAAAAAACTGAAAGTAGCTGTACACTAAGCACAAAAAACTTGTTGTCTTTAGACAGCAGTTCTACTAGCAACTGAGTCTCCTGTAAGCCAATGTTGTCTTGAAAATTGCTCCCCCACTGCCATTGCTCTTTCAATCCCATCCTTTCCCTTCCCTCCCCTCAGGCCAGCAGAAGAGTTTGTGGTTGCACTTGGGGACAAGTGTTAGAACAGATCCAGGGAAAAGCTTGCAATAAGATTGAATACCAATAAATATAGTTAGCTTTAGAAAACATTGCCTACATTTTTGCATTGCCTGGTGTCACAATAGTGGGTTTTACAAGAGGACAGAAAAAGTGAATGTGGAAAAGGGTGGCCAGCAGTATGGGGGGTGCAGGACTGCTGCTTAGCTGCTTCAAAATTGTTTGTGGAAACTTGTAGTGTCATAATGGCTGTGCTGTATTGCAGTACATAGCAATGTACAGGTTTACAGCATTTAAGCCCTACAGCAGATACTATGGCATACAGTGGAATTAAACTAAACTGGTGGAACATAAAAATACAGCTGTTACACCTAAGGCTGCTGCCAAGGTGGTGGTCTCAGCAGTGGCCCTGCAGTGATGTCTCACCTGGGGAAGCTGAATACCACCTGAGCAGCTTTGCTCTGGAGAGCAGGGCACAGTCCCATGGCCCTCAAGTGCTGTGCAGCTGCGTGAGATCAATCTTCCTCTGGCCAAGGCTCCTGCCTGCTCAGCTGCAAAAGCAGTGTCACCAGTCAGGAGAGACAAATTTGGTCTCAAGACAGCGAAGGAACTGAATGCTAGTTACTGTTGGACATATCCTGAGTGCTGGTTTTCAGGTGCCAGGAGTGATGAGCATTGTGGGGGTGCCTCCATGGGGTGGGCACTGGTGGCAGAGCCAGCTGGGCAGGCTGCCTCTGATACACAAGGTTTAGGGCCACGCCATGCAGGTGCATGTGTTCCTCCAGTACTTTTAGGCAAATAAAGAGCTGTGATGTTCTACTCATGTAAGATCAGAACTGCAAGATATTTTTCAGAAACAGGTACCAGCCTTCAGTGTAAAAGGGCAACAAGCTGGGCTGTTGCTGGAACAGACTTTCAGCACAAATTTGCTCCTATGTTGCATAAGCCAGAGTCTGCAGGGCAATGCTGCTGAGGAGGGAGAAAAAAGTGCACATGGATGCCTGGAAGACTTCAACAGACATATACTGTAGTTATTATTAAAATGTGATTTTTTTTCCTAATCTCTGCTCATTCCTTGCATCACTTTTAATAGTCTCCCCAGAGCAAAAATAGCTGCCCACTAACATCTTGTCAGTTATAAGATCAAGACCTTCAATACTGAGAAGCAGCAGGGATTCTCTTTATGAAATACTGAATAGAAGCGGAATCTGAAACATGTGAAGTGGTATTTAGAAATATGTCACTTCAATATATCCATAGCAGGCAAAGAATGCCATATTGTAACAATAATCTGAATTTATAATCTAAATATTAATACTTTATAATCTAAATAACAAAGAACAGCAAGCAAAAGAAAGGTAGCTTAAAATAGCAATCTTCAGTCTTTTATTCTTTTTCATACAATTTAAATTTTCAATAGTTAGGAATTGGAAATGCCAAAACAGAATTTCCCAAGTGTATATTTACCAAATTTCTTGTTCAATGAAAAAGGAAGTTTTAAAAAACTCAAATGTTACTCAACATTCTTTTGCCCTGCTCCCCTGCCCTCCTGAAATAACAGCAGTGTTCAAAGGAAAAAAAAATCAACGCTTTGAACCACAGGTTTCAGAAGGCATAGACAATTATTTTGTACATATTCATTTTCAAACTTTCTTCTGAAAAAAGCAACAGCATAAATGGGAATATTAAGAAAGAAGCCATCTCAGTCCTTGAAAATGTGAATATTTCCTTCAGAGGGCATGGAAGACTCTCTGAACTCTGTTGTTATTGTCCTTCTGGATGACAAGGTAAAAATGTCAGAAAAATCTACATTTTATTTAAATAACTCCTTATGATAATCATCAAGATATTCTAAATTATCTATTTTATGAATCTGAAAAAAACCACATCAAATTTTAATGTGGAATGTTTGAAAAAATAAGCACATGAACAAGCGTTACATGCTTATCAGCAAAGTTCATTATTTAAAAATAATTCAAAGAAAACATGAGAAGACTTCAAGAAGCAGTGCAATGAACCAGACTAAAATGGAAACATGGAAGCCAGAACTAGGTGCATGTTTGGCCATGTTCCTGCTAGAATAGCTTTACTAAGGGATTATAGTGATGAAGTGCACACAGATTAGAAGGGCTAGGCTGGCAACACTGTTCTTTTTAGCCATTTAATATCCTCACTTTCACTCTGAGGAAAAGTTACTTCTCTATTTAAAGCCCAATTTTCTCAGACCTATTGCATGTCCACATCCATGTTAGCTGGGGAGTATATTTTTTCATGTGTACTACCCTCCAACAAAAGCCCAGAAGTGGAATGGGGGAGAATGTAGAGGTAGGGAACTCTCTCTGTAGATCTGCAAGCAATGTAATACAAAAGCGAGGAAAGGCAGATGGAAAAGAAAAGCAACACCTGTCAAAGGGCTGAATGCAAGGTGCTCCAAGAAAGAATGAAAAAAATTATGTATTAAATTCTGCCAGAAATGTGAGGCCTGAAAAGAAAAAAACTGAACTTATGATTACAGTAAAAAACAAAATTTAGTTCCAATTACTTAAATCCAGTATCAGTGGTTACACACATGGAAACCCATTGCCTATTGAGCAGTGGTTCTTTCAAATAGGCATGTGCTTATTTGCCTCTGAATATGATTGTCAAGAACCACCTGGAAATGTCACCTGAAACCTTCTAGCCCTGTTCCAGATGGCACTTAGACGTTCATATGTGATGATGGGGACTCAAAGCTACTAACACAGGTTATGAAGTAAAAAGCCTTAAGGGTGTGATAGGCTGTATCTAGGAAATTTCAAGTTTTCTATGGATGATGCTATAAAATATAGGGGAAAGTTAAATGAAGCATTTGACACTTAAGAATTGCAGACGATGAGAACAACAATATCAGTACACAGAAATCCACATCTATTATAGGGAGAAGCTTCAAGAGACTAAACTCTGACCCCAGCTTTTCCCCAAAGCAAAATTCACACTAAGTCTCTCTCATTGCTATATATTAGCAATATCAGTCTCTGCAAGCCACAGGAATAAAACATTTGGACTTAAAGATACATAGGAAGGATACATATGTAGGAAGACAGCACCATTTAAAAGTTTTATCTGACCCCTTACTACAGTGACAGGCAATGATCTCATCTGTAGACATAAAACCCACAGGTCCCTGAAATGAAAATCTTATTTTCCTTTAACCTCAAGGCAGCCTTTCTGGACTTCTTTCAAACATTCCTGCAAAACAATTTGAGAAAGAATTAGATTTCTTAAAAAAAACAAGAAAACAAAAAAGAAGAATGTTCGTGCAATTATAATTTAGAACTGATTAGCACAAGGTGGTATGGGGGCTAAAAGTAAATACGAGTTTAAAAAATCCAGATAATTTCAGGCAGGAAAAGCCCATTTAATTCATTTGTTGAATCTCTTCATTGAATGAGTGGCCATAGGCTGCTGGAAGCAGAGAGGGTGGCTGAGGAGTGCCTGTTCCCTTGGCATATCTCCGGGCTTTTGCCAGAGACAGGAGAGCAGACACAGGAGAGCTGACCTGAGTATCTTAGACCTGTCTAGGGAAGTGTGGCTATTTTTACACCAGACATGACCCAGAGAGTGTTTAATTGGCTTACCTTTATCCAGCTGGTGGTCAGACTGACTGACTGACTAAAGATCAATCATTCTGGAAAAATTATGGTGTTCCGAAATATGTCTTAGATGGATGTCTGGGTACAATGCAGGCAAACCTGCACTGTACCCAGGTTTATTTGTAAATAAACAGGTTTATTTGCAAATTGCATATTTACCATAAAAGCATTACTGTAAATTATATTTTCTCTACAGCTTCTCTTTGCATCTTCCTATAATTTTTCCACACAGGTTTAATGCTTCTTTATTAGGACATTTTCTGATTTAATTTGCTTGTAAGCTTCATAGTGTGCTTGTATGTGAAAATACACAAGCCTGATTACACAATAATAAAGCTGTATGCCTTGTTATTGTTTTAGGTCCTGTATGTGTTTTCTTATATGACAGAACTACTTATGCAGAAATCTGTCTGCTATCAAAGTCATGAAGCATAAAGGGACAGCAAGGTTCTACTGATATCAACTAGTAAGAGAACAAATTGTTGTGATAGCCTACCCTGAGATGACTAGATGGCAATTAAACTTTAATTCTTCCTCTTCTCTTTTTATAATTAATAATAATTTCTTGTGGTTCTCAAACTTCATTAGATGCCTTTTAAAATTGGTTTTGTAAGTTGGTTCTGAATTGTTGTTAAGGTTACTTAAGTAATATTCTAATGCTACTAAAGCCCTTTACAAGGTATTAAGGTGACAGCATAATCTTTCTGGGACTCTTACACAACACACACTACTCTGTATT